CTGAAAAGCGAGGTGTGCTCTGATTGGCCAGCTATCCAGTGCGTTGTGATTGGCCGAATACCTCAAGTGTGTGATGGAGATGTTACGCCGCTTACCATATTGTGATGCCCTGTCCCGTCTCGGAGAAATGATAAACAACAAGCGCTACTCTACACTGCTCAAAACTCGCGTTTGAATTGTCAGTGGCAAATTTTTTAAATATGAAAACGTACTTAGAGGCTGAGTCAAAAGCGCTAGACTGTCCTTGCAAAGTTGGAATTGCCCCACTTTAGTTACGCCTTCCTTTGCGTGAACATTTGAGCGGCGTTATGCAAATCTTCCCACATCGTGACGTAGACATGTGGGGGCGTGTTAGAACGAGCTGTTTTAGGCGTGGTTGACAACTTTTATAAAGAATATCTCTTTGGATTTGAGACTTTAGCCTTTGCAATTTTACAGATCTTCTTTATGCACCAAGAGCTTGTAACACTCCAAAGAGAAAGGAAAAATTGAAATCGCATCATATGACCCCTTTAAATGAATGTAATGTTAAACTTCCACCTTCAAGCCAGGCTAATTTATATCAATTTGCTTTTCATTTTTTTATTCTTGCTGTACTTGAACAGGAAGTTTGTTTTTATTCAATAAACAGTGCTGTTTTTCACATCTACAATTTTCTTTTGTATTGTTATAATTTGCATAGATGTTCAGCATGATTTATTTAAGGCTGTTTGAAATCCAAAACTTCTCAAACTACAATTCAGCCCTACCAGATGTTGAAATATATGTATATATTTTCCAGGGTAAAGGTGCTTAAAGTATGGTGTAAATGCAAGCTTCACGATTTAATCTGACGAATCCCAGCCATCACATAATATCCTTGGCAGTCAGGATGCAGGCCCTAATCCTTTCTGCACATGCTGTGCCTCTGTCCTCAGTTCAATCTGGTCTAATCTAAATTATTCCCTAAACCCTGATTTAACAGTTAGCAAATCCACAATGTTCCTTACAGTGTGCAGGCTTTCTTTTATCACTGAAAAGGAAAAGGTATGAGAGGAAGACCCAGATTTCATATATGTAAGGTATGTTTTCACTCACAATCCAGCCCCAAAAAAATATACATTTTTACATTATTTTGTGAAACTATATTTCTTTCCAAACTATGTCAGATCTTCCCATGTGACTCTTAAAACATTCATAATGCTTATTATATTGGCCTACTTTGTAGTTCTTAAAACATTTTTATAGCTTTTTGTTCTTCATTGTATTAAACTGCGATTACTATCTTCTAGATTTGAACTGTTGAGGACGAGCAGGTCAGTTTGCAGTTTTATGTGGATCTCTAGTATTAGTGTAATGCTAAGCCTTCTCTATCCACCTGCAGTGTGATTTCTTGCCTGTGGCATTAAAGTGTGAACTACTACCGGTATCTAATAGGTTTAACTGTCCTATTTACAGTGCCCAAACCATTATATTATACTTGCAGTATAGTAACTATAGTCTTGGATTGCCATTTGTATAACCACAGTGTTACTACAAATACCACGGTTAGTGTTACAAAACAATGGTTAATTTGTGGTTACCATGGGTTAATTATTGTAACTTTTTTTTTTGTAGTAAAACCATGGTTAATTTTCATATGGGTAATTATCTACAACCACCATTTGTTACATTTGATCCCCATATTCTTTCACTGCAAAGAAAAGGTTTTGCACAGATAATCAAGTCAAGTCAAGTCAAGTCTGCTTTATTGTCAATTCTTGATGTATTCCAGTTTATTGTCCAAAGAGCGTACGTTAGCCAGTACGATGGTGGGGATAGCTGGCTTGTGTGGGTTAGCCGCTAGCCTAGCCCGGATACCTCCGCGCTTACCCCTCTTCTGCTTCAATTAATCTTTCAATCCTTGATAAACTTTATGATTAACAATGGGAAAATTAAAAAAACGATTTATATTTTGAATGAAATCAAATATTAGAGCATAATCAACATCACTGTAAGTTTCATAAACGTGGTTTGGTAATAGTAACAGTCAGCGCCAGTTATCTAAACAGGTGAACAGATGAGGTCACCAGCATTCAGATGTCATTTAAATCCATAGATTAACAAGTACAGCGTGTTTATACAGAAAACGTACATATGCATAAAATAACTTTAATACTTCAAGAGGAAACCATATCCATATCATAGACAACATTTAAAAAAAATCCAACACTAGATATATATAAAATATGAGTGGATGTGTCTGCCATATGTCACTGGTTCTCTCTCAGTTTAACTCACAGGGCAAAAAGAGGAGTCTAATCTGATAACATCCTTTCTAAACACTTTAATTCTTGCTCTTAACCAGCTAGTCAGTTAAGCTGATCCTGTAATGGTGCAATACTTAACATCACATTCAGCATACCTTAAACACAACTGAAATAGAAGCAAGAAAGTGTGTAAACACACACACACCCACAGTCCAAAATGAACGTTTTGCAGTTCTTAAAAGAACCCATTTTTTCCTTTAGTGTGAAGAACATTTTACTAATCTAAATAACCCATTTTCCACTCTAAATAGCCTTTTGTGCAATACAAAGTTTCCATGGATGTTCTTCATGGAACCATGGAAGCCAATAAAGAACCTTTATTTTTAAGACTGAAGTTAATCAAATATATAACATATTTTACTGACCATGAAGCCATATGTTTCATTTTATTAAAGATATTTTTAAAATATTAATAGATTAAAATATCTAACCCATTTGTACTTATTTGGTGTTTGCAAGTGTTAATTTTGGAGCCTGAACACACATACAATATATACATTTTTTTTTTTTTTAGAATAGAGCCACTGGTTAATAAACCTTGACAATAACACTTTGGATTCTAAATCCAATCCAGTTTAATTTCC